AAAGTGGGAGCAAGAAGCACGGCTCACATTGACTTCAAAGTCACAAGTCTCACACACACACACACACACACACACACACACACACACACACACACCTCCAGCTCCCTCCTATCCCTCCCATACACATGCACCAAGGACCCACTTACCAGCTGTTCGTGTACGTCCCACCAACTTGCAAGCGCTGTTTCACACATTCGCTTGGTGTGAAGACGAATGAAGTAGCAACACTGGCACATCCACCGGCAACGCAGTGTGCAACTGAATGGTACTTCTGGAACAAAAAAGATGGAGACACCCCAATCCATCTATGGATTAGCGAAGAGGTCATGGCAACAAGATTATACGTCAAATATGAAGCCATTTCTAAGCCAACCTCAATACAACCAGCATCCCTGCTAATAGGTGAATCAGGAGAAGACGGAGTGGTAAAGGAGGCAAAGAAGGTGAAGACGCAGGGGTACTGGCAACAGGAGAAGCAGCAGCGGCAGGGCAAGTGGAAGAAAGAAAGAAGGCACATAGATGGAAGGAGGGGAAGGGGGAGAAAGAGGAGAACAGCAAGACCCATATGAAGAAGCGGAACAACCAGAAGGATGGAAAGGGGGAGGAGGAAAAAAAGGAAACAAACAAAACCAGAGGAAGGAAAGTGAGATAAAGTAAGCAAGCAGGGCAGTGCCTGAAATATTAAGGAACACCTGGCTTACGATAGTGGCAAGACCACATGTTGAAAAACTGACGCATCACAGTGTAGTGAGCAGTCGTCAGTTCAGGAAGGGCAGAACACACACATTCTCATTCACGCTACAAAAGAGTTCCATGCTCCATCAAATTCATTGTTCTGCCATGGAAGAATAAATCCATGTTCAGTCAACACAGAATGCTCAGAGCCGTCAGTGTCAAAAAGATGGGCTCCTTACACTACAAATAGCACATGGGTATTTTGTTGCACATATCTATCAACTAAAAGAGCGCACTTTGTCCTCAGGGACATCCGTTAAAATTGGAATGATACAGAAAAGATGAGCATAGCCCCTGCGCAACATGACACACATTGATCGAGAAATAGTCCAAATTCAAGTGCACTTTGTGAAACAAAAGACAAACATGAACAGCACACTGAAACTGTTCTTTTCATCATTTCTTCTTTTCGCTCCCCCTTTACTGTGCCACTCACGTTCAAGACACCATGGTGATGTGTCATAACGACTATCTTATACACTGAGCAAAAGAGGCAGAGTAAAGGGGGAGAGGATAAACACACAAAAAATGGAAAGAAGACAAAGCAAAGAAAGACAAAGAGACATCTGATCTAATTTAATTAGATTAGAGACGTACAAGCGCTTTGTTGCTTGCGCCTCTACTCTACTTGTGAAGCAGCCCGCAAGGGAAAGTGAGGAGTTTAGAATGGAAATGAAAGCACAGGGAGGACAAATGTATCCTAAGATGGATGAGGACATGGAAGACCTAGCTGAGCATTCTCAGTACAACAATTGCCACAACCGCTGGAATCGTGCATGCCCACCAAACACTTCCCACAAATGGCATGCCCATTGCATGCCAAGATGAAGGAACAACGGGCAACACAAAAGACCATGCAATGGCATGCATTCATTATAACGCCCACAGCAGCAAAATAGACAGTGTGTGTCCGGGTGTGGAGGGTGCCTGTGGTCACGTGTTACATGCTGAGAGCCTCCACACGGGCCCCTCACGGGACCCGAGGTTTGATAAGGGCCCCCAGGTCGCGTCACCGCAACCTGGAGGCCCTACGGCCATTTTACTTAGGCCTGCATCGGAAAGACTTCAACTTTAAGTTGATTTCTTATTTATTTATTTACGGATGTGTTTTTACTAATGTGCTGTTGTCCGTTTTGTGGCCAGGTACACAGTTAGGACCAGGGCCGGAATCAGGCCCAGAGGCTGAGCCTCTAATTCAGTTTGGAC